AGACACAAAAAACGCGCAGAATAAGATTCATATACTTTCATTCAAACCACTTGTCAGTGTTCTTCTTTTTCATCGTCGTCGTCGTCGTCGACATTTTGCCATTTACTGGTATTTCAAGTGTGTAACGTGCTCAACATATTTAAACAAATAACAAAAACGAAATTTGATTTTTGGTTTGATTTCAGCCCGACAACAACAGTACTCTCTCACACTCTCGGTACTCTCTTCAACAGTGCGCGAAATGAGAACACCAAGCCTACCGAGTACAGAGAGTGCATGTCCATCTCTTTTTTTTTCTTCTTCTTCGCTTCTTTCTCCGTCTTATATGTATTGTTCTAAAGCACACTCTCAGTTGAGCATGGCTTCGATTCGCGGTGAATTACTTTGAATAAATCTGATTAAACACACATTGTGCATGTGTATTGATTTATGTGAAATACTTGCCATTTGCATTCGGCAACATAATGCCAAAGTGCGGTAACACATCCGCATATTTATAAGTACCGTATGCACAGTGCGCTTTTTTTTGCAGGCGCTGCTGTTTATTCGTTCAATCGTTGTCGTTGTCATCTCTTTACGCGTTCTTTTATTTTTCGGTTGTTCCATCGTCGTTTTTGTCATTTGTTTTTCATGGGTTTTCGTCCAGAGAGCGTCGAGCCAGCACAGAAACTTCAGTCAATGAGATGTGTACGTGATGTGAATTCGTCAGCCAGATAGTCGTCTAAATTAGATGCTCGATACATACCAAATATGCACGATAGCCGAGAGAGAGAGAGAGAGAGAGAGAGAAAGAGAGAGGAAAAGGAAGCGAAATGGAAGTGGAACTATTTTATGCGAACGGCAGAGCACTGGTTTTTTCCCTCTGGCATTTCGGTAATGAGAGAGAGAGATAGACATTTTTGTGTGTGTGTCTCTGTTGAACTTAAAAAAACAAACTGCTTTGCAAATTGAATCTCTCGATGAATCGCAAATTAATGAAATTTAGATCAATTTCTTTTGTGTTGTTGAAAGAATGTGTGCTCTCTTCAGTTGTCGTTGTCGCGTTTTTTTTCCTCTCTTTTAATTCGATTTGTTGGCCATTCACTTTACGCGTGCACACACACACACACACACACACAAGAACTCACTCGCTCCAGCCAAAGCCATTCATGGTCTTGTTCTTTTCTCTCCGTGGATGAAAGTAGACAAATATGCGTCGACATTGTAAGCGGTGTAATTTCTTTTTGGCGATGGACTGGCCCCATGCTCGCAAGACTTTGAATAACGTGTGAAATTGTGCACACACTAGAACCAGAATGGAATAACAACACATATAGCATCGAAATGAAAAAGAATGTCAAAATGCTACTGGAATACCTACGGGGTCATGAAAACAATTGAAATGTTCACTTTTAATAAGCAACGTTTTAAAATGAAAATGAAACACATCGAGATAGACACAGACACAGAGGGACAAAGTGAGAGAAAAATTGAGAGGCGAAACCAAAAAAATTCCAATAGCCAAATATCACAGTTAAACTGTGTAAAATGTAAACATAAAGCACAGTAATAAACTCATGAAATTCTCACTTTGTTGGAGTTGATAGACCAACAACTAGAATTATTCATATATGAACTGTCTCTCGACTGGATGGACTGACTGACTGAATCACGGAGAGCGAGAAAAATGCGTGAAACAGTTCTGTTTTATTTCATTCGGTTGGTTTTTTTTTCTTCTTCTTCTGGCTTTGCTTTATGATGGGTAAAAGTATATTATAAACGATAATTTGGTTCGGTATGTTTGTTTGGCTTTCAATTTTTAGGCTTTTATTTTCATGAATCATTCGAAACGGTTTGGGTTTGTTTGATTTTCGGTTTGTAACTCATCGCGCGCCATTGTATGCGCACCGTGGATGAAAATTTGTTCAAGAGTGCAGTCATTTAATGAAACGGATTTATGATGACCTGCGTACGCGAGAGACGCTCTCACTGCACGAGGCGATTCTTTCTTTAGCAGCATTTTTTTTTCTCTCTTGCTGCTTGAGAAAAACGGTTTTGTTCAAGCTTCCAAAGAATTCGTGATTCATTTCGTATAGAAAAAAAAAACAAACGGCATTCTGGGCGTATTTGATAAGTTGCCATTTTTATTCTCTTTTTCCCTTGTTGAAGTCAGTTTGGAAAAATTCGCTCGTGATGCAATCCGATGAGTGAAGTGCCGGTGGTCAACATGACGTGCACTCTTTGATTGCATGCTGCTGCACACAGCTCGTGCGTGTGCGGGCTATTTCATTCCAACAATAGTTTTTTTGTGTGTACACAAGTCATAAGCGTGTTGCTCGTTACGCACAACAAAAGTCCACATTTTCGACATTGGAATGAGATTGATTTGCTGTTGAGAAGACGATCTGACAAATAACACATTGCATTGTTAACTGTACATAAATTGTTCGTTCCGACACCACCACCACCAGCTAAATGAAAAGAAAAGAGGTAGAAGAACAAATTTTTTTTGAAAACTGGATGCGCTAGCTCTTCGACGCATTCAGTGATTGACTGACACCGAATTTGTACAACGCACATTTCATTTTTCGTGTGTATCATCTCGCGCGACTTCGACTCTGCATAGCCACAAGTAAAATGCGTAAAGGCATATTCGAGTCATATTATGAGACACAAAAAACAAATTCATTGGCTCGATACTCTCTCTCTCTCTCTCTCTCTCTCTCTCTCTCTCTCTCTCTCTCTC